AGGACAATGAGGGCATTAAACTTTGACAATATTTATTCAAATAGAAAGCTTTTGGTGAATGCCATGGCTGGTAGCCATGAAAACTGAATTTTTCAAGTGAAATTGCTGGCAAGAATAGGTTGCACCTAAATTACCGAACACACTATCTTCCTGCTACTTGATGCAGATCAGCAATGATCTAAAGACAGAAGGGAGTGGAGAAGAGCAAAGAAAAGGGGAAGCAATGAAGAAAGCAAGAAGCGGTAACAGCAGCAGCAAGTTGTCTTAAGATAGAGACAGAAAGATTACAAGATTCAGAAAAGCAAGAGAGCAGGGATAGCCTGCCTGGGTTTTGCAGAGGATGCTAAGCCTAAATGCTCCTCAGAAGAGAGAAAAATCAAAAGCAGGCAGCTATTAGTTGTCTAGATGGAAATATTCAACACATATTGTCTTTTCTGAAGGAAAAGGAGGGGTTGGATTGCACAACCAACCCACCAAAGTGTCAGAGCCCATCCTTTTGCTGGTAAGGTCATGTCCCTGAACACGTGAACTGTAAATTCAGTACCAACAGCTCTGAGAGAAGAGGCACATGCAAGCTCGTCCGTCCCAAGAGGACAGCTGAGATGAGAGGTCACTCTTCCACAAAGAGCTACAGAGGAACTTCTCATTTCTGAAATGGAGACTGTGCCCCCTCCAAAACACAGGACAGCTCAAATCTCTGATTTGATTTCCTACACACTGTAACCAGCCTGGTCTACACCCAGCTGCAGTTGCTCCACCAGGCAACAAGTAGGGAATTTTTAGAAAAATTAAGCCTGTTCTGGCTCTTATTCAAATCTGCATTTTTTTTTTTAAAACGTAGTTTATAATACTTCAAATTCCGACCATTTGTTTCTATGGACTGTACTGAGACTCTTTTATGGAAGCTAAGAAGCACTCGCATGGCATAAAAATTCCTACTGGTTAAAAATCAATAACCTTAAGCTATTTAGAGAGGAAAAAAAAAGGGAAATCAATGCTTCATTTGTTCAAGTATGTTCTGCATATTTTTAGGTACCTATCAATCACAACATATGAAATATTACTTAGCTCTCCAGAGTGAAAGTTTTCAAATTAACACCACCCACATGAAAATGCTCTTGCAAACAATAACTTATTGTGCTCTCACTATACATCATGTCACCTTATTTATACTCAGATACCTATTGTGAAGGATTCAAAAAGGGACACAATCATATTTTTCTAGGCCTGAGCAGAAGGCTTACCTTCTTCTGAGTTTGATCAAGATTGGATCCTACATGATAAAGGTACCTGATCATTCTCATGCCCAGCAGAACATTGCTGCAACTGAGTAGAGTGGGCCACGACACCACCGCTCCAGCAGAGCACTGAAAATATATACACTGATCCTCTGCAGTGCTTTTCCTGTACTTAAGTTCTCCTGATTTATTTAGTATATATTATTAAATCCCATTAGTTTTAACTGCTCTGTTGTGACAGGTATATTTTTTGATTCCCCATCAAAATGGGGATAGCATAATTGCAGGCTTCAATCAATGATACTTAGGTTCATTAATGATATATTCCCCCATCCCTTTTTTAATAAAAGGGAAAAAAAAGGCCTGAGAAGTATGCCAGATGTTGCAAGTCTGCCCCTTAGAAGAATGTCTCTTATGAATTCCAATTTTATTATTTACCTGAGCAAAATCTTTGTTCAAAACCATTTACAAACCCCTTATGAGTTAAAAAAAAGAAAAGGAAAAAAAATTCAACCCAAGTGATTTGCTTGGCTGTAAAATGGGGGGTCTCTCAGCTCCTATTATTTTTCATTTCAATTATTTTTAAGAAAGGTTCAGTATAAAGGTAGTCCCGTCATGTCAATTCAGGAGGCTTGCTGCATTTCCATTCAGCACAAAACTTTTTGCACAAGCAGAAGCAGGCTTCTTCATCCCTGCAGGCAAACCACATTCCTCAAGGAAAAGACGACTCCCAACCTATTCTCTATAAGAACTTTGGCTGCCTCGTACTCCTTTAATGTAAAACGTCTCCCCTTAAACAAATGAGTTGGTTGCTAGAAGTTCAATGTAACGGAAGCAAATAAGAACTGACAGTCACCTTATATTAATAGGGACAGGCATATTGTGTCCTTCTTAGAAACGAAGCACAATTTCCTTTTACAGCTTCATACAACTGAGAATCACACGATGAGAGCACAACTGCCCAGCAAGCTTTACACATCAATTATGTTACGGCTCCATTACCTGCTCTGCAGCACAGCTTCACAGGGAGATCACGTAAAAGCACTAACGTACAACTTTCACCTTTTTAGGAGTTAAATAAGATGCAGTTACATCAAAATCTATCTCCTGAAAAAGGTATCTTGAAATGAGAAGATATAATAACATCTTGTATTAGCATGCACTTGTGGCAAAGCAACCCTATTCTGCACACAAGGCAGCAAGCACTTCTGGGATGCTCCAAGGACCCTCCTGAAGGACGAGCTGCTACATTTTCTGCAAAGATTCCCAGATGAGCAGGCTGAGGTTCTGCCTGCCTGGGACTACATGGTATTGCCAGCCTCCAAAATTAAGGAGTTTATCTTCTTGCTTTTGTTTGTAGTGCCTCGCTTCCAGCTTTTGTGCCTTCACCCTATGCTGTGGCCTTGTTTTCAAGCTTTTCTTGAGGTGTGTGTGGGGATCCAAAACGCCTAGGTGTTCAAGGTTAACAGTAAAATAGTGTAAACTGACAACACTCCAGTCATTAATTACCCTTTCTGGAGCTGTGATTTCAATAGTAGAAATTTCAGCTTCTGAAGTGATGTGTCAGGGTAATGTCATTGTAAAAATCACAACTGAGTCCTCTGAGAATTGCTCAGTAAACTGCCTCAGACCAGTGAATGGCTAAAAGATTACACTATAAAGCCTTACATTCCTCTGTTTCGCTATCGTGCAAATCTCCCAGAATATTTTATGTGGTATTTCTGTCAGTCCTTTACATTCACTCATGCTAAACAATGAGGGGGT